AAGCAGTCTATTGTATAGGCTCTACCGCAACCTGCGACCATGGCCACAGAAAAAGACGCCACGAAGGTGAATTTCAACAAACGATTCTTGGTTTGCTTCAGCAGCGAACACCCGTGGCGCAAGCTCTTAACTTGCGCTGCACGGCAGAAAATACAGGAAGGCCTGTAGTGTACCATAGTTGACGCCAGCTCTCTCCACCGAGTCAGAACCGGCCTTGCGATTCTGACATGGAATGAAAATACAAGAGAAAGGCTCCTAGATGCTGCACCGAAACTGTCGAATTTCAACGCCAAGCTCGAAGAAGCCTCCATCCTTATCGCGTTTCAGATCACGAAAGTTCCAGCGACAATAAGAACACTCGATAGTATTCGTACGGTAGATTCTGATTGGATCTCAACCGAAATATACTGTAAAACCCGAGAACTGCCATCCCAGGTGTGTTGTGCCTGGACCCACCTAGCTACAGTGCACAGCTCAAGTTATGATGGTCACGCGACTGCATGCGTTTGCTCTGTTTGCTCCTGCTTCGTTGAGTTAGTATCATTAGTAAGCAATAGTCTAGGGACTATAAGTAGAGAGCTTTACTCCGCAGTAGATGGAGCAAGCAATTCAGTCTTTCCTCATTCTACAGAGATCATTCTCCGCTCCACTTCTTGACCTGTCCGGCCCAGCAGCCCATGTGTGATCACTAGCAGCGAGCTCCTACAAATTGTATGTACACCCGAATCATAGACCTTTCACAACAAGGTGTGACCGCACGAGACATGCTGTCCCGGTGCTCCGTATAGAAACTGGCATGCCCTTGCTGCCCGGGATTCCGTCTTTTCGATGAGTCTGGTATTGCTACCATCCACAAGCATCATCGGAAAATTGGACATTGCAAACGTTGTTTGGGCTTCAACGCCACTCGTTGCTCCCGCGCTCCAGCATGCTGGAAATGCGAATCTAATTTGTACTCTGAAACAGAATGCAAGGCTCTCTTATGTTGTCGAAACTGTGGGGGACCTCACCGATCGGATTCCCAAGACTGCCAGGCCAGACCCAGAAATTCCGGATCGGTGACCAACAAAGCAGCTCGCATGGACTCACCAATAGAGAGTGACTTTCTCGGGGGTGGCATGAGCTCGGGTTGCAGCCAAAATGGCTGAAGAGGCGATCATCGCCTCAGCGAAGGATGTCTCGAGGGCCGAGAGAGCAGGTTTCCGAGTGCTGGAATCTGAAGAAGAAACTTGAAGTCACAGCAATCTCGACGATATCCCTTTTGGGGCATCTACTAACTATTAGCAGGATACCGGCTGTATCAAAGGTACCTGCTAACCTATCTTTTGCTCTCATCGGAGATTGAGGAAATTTGTCATTTGGAAGGTGTGACTGACGATGGAATGTGTGAGGAGCGCATTGCTTGGGTCCAGAATGGAGGAATCTTCTGTCTTTCGGGGTTGTTTTGATTTTCGTGATTTTTCGTTTCGGCTTAATCGGCTACACCACTGGCCGTCGAGACGGGACAGAAAAATTTTAGAGATGGAATTCTTCAGAAAATATCAATATACTAGATCTTAAAGTGTATTCAGGTGAATATTTAGATGAAGATGAAAAAGTAGGAGCAAGTTATTGTATCTGCCGCGGAGCAAACACTGAAATTTCACATGGAAAGATCCCCTTATGACGCACTGCCAGAGTGTACTACGCGGAAGTAATTGAAGCTACCGAATGTCTGAAAGCTGCTATTGCGTATTTTATGGCAAGATATGCCTCCAACGTTACTGTCTATCTTGACAATGAAGAAGCCGCCCTATGTCTTCATAATTGGCAACGAACATCGCCCAGCTCTATATTTATCGGCGAGCTTCAGGCACTAAGAACAAGTTGATCCACCATGACGCGCGTGCCAAAGAAAGCATCTGGAATAGTTAGATTTAGATGGGTCCCAGGACATGCGGGCAAGCAAGGAAATGATAGTGCTGATGCTTTAGCGAAGAAAGCCTGCAAGGAAGCTTCGGTTGCAGAAGCGACAAGACTCCTCAAGTAACGACCGAAAGCAAGTATATAGAAGTACTGGCAATATAATGCTCCTGGTGGCTATAAGCTTTTCTGAATACAGGTGACAGGAAGAATGCCAGAAATAATTCGATCTCTTTCCAGAAGAAATCCGGGCTCACTGCTGGCGGCGCGGTCAGTGAATGGCGACTTCGCCGCTCATCACAGAAAATTTAAGCATGGAGATGCAGTTCTCTTTTGTGATTATGAAGAAGAAAAATCATCCGAATGTTCTTTCACATGCTGGAGATTATGGAGTATAGGTAATCCGCGTCCTAGAACATCACGAGGTCTAGAGGGCAGTATAAAGTGAAATTTTGGGTCAACAGTAAGAGAGAGAGAGAGGTTTGTGTTTATTGTGCTGCTTGAGTCTATGACTATCTAGCACAAAGGGCTCCTCTTTGACCCAGGCCACACCTTGTACAGTGCTCCTTGCTTCTTTTGTTACTTGAAAGATCATTGATATATTGTCCGTGATAAATAGCTACTCAGCTCAGTATTTACCCATGGAATTCAGCTACCTTTTCCACGGAACCTTCTACCCAAAAAAATAAAATGGTAGCAATGGAAACTGCGTGCGCGGGAAAAAGTCTCAAAAAACCTACAGCCCCAGCCAGGCGAGGCCTAGACACCGGGACCACATGAGGTGCGCATATTCATCTACATCTCCCTTCTTTGTAACAGTCGAGGTCGACTTGATCCAATCCACCATCTCCGTATCGGGTGCTGGGTACGCTCCGGAAGCTCATCGGATGGCTTCTCCATGATCAAGGATAGGTGATGAGTAGGGCTCCAACCTTACCATCTGATCTGATCGTGGTTAGCTTCACGATAATGGTGATAGGAGGATATGTTGAGAGATGAAGACTACAAAGACCGCGAAAGCGATTGGGAATCCTCATCATAGTGAAGACTGTTTTACTCAATCTCGGCTCTACAGAGTTCACAGTGAGAGCTGGAGGTTCGTAGGGGACACCACTGACAGGTGTTGAGAATAGTCCCCCTGGGTCAACAGCAAGATCAAGGGCATTTGGAAAATCTTGCAGTAGTACAAAATCACACGTTTAGGCTAGTAGTTACTGTCATTAATGCGCTTTTCACATTAGTAGTAAATAGTCATACACGTAGTGTAGCATGCAGAGCCAGGGAAATGGAAACAGGTTAGTGATAAATTAGATACCACCGATCGCTACACTCACCCGTAGATCACTCCTAAAAGAGACTAGCTACGGCGCTATCTGGAAGTATATAGGATTGGTTAATTATCATGTAGGTAACCCGTGACATAACGTAACATAACAATAATAACACAATAAGATACCACTCGCATCCCGTATCATTTATTGCCATAATCACCCAACTATATTCTAAGCCCCCTGAGTTGTCACAACCATTTAATTGAAGCTACCAAGTGTATACAACTATATACATCACCACCCTTCAATAGTTACTAATTTCTGGTTTGATCTTGTAGGTTTGTGAAATATCTGGAGTGTCTAGCGTTCAGAGTAATTAATTTTTGGGGAAAAAAAGTTAGGACTCAGCGTTTAGCAAGGCGTATTTTGAAGAATTGGCTGTAGCTGCAGGAGATCTTGTCTCACCGCTGAGCTACTGGAGCACACAGAATTTCTTTTCGATAGGACGATAGATACATCTGGCTGCTGGGGGACTATTCTCAACACCTGTCAGTGGTGTCCCCTACGAACCTCCAGCTCTCACTGTAGAGACTGCAGAGCCGAGATTTAGTATCAAAGTCCTCATTTCGATTAGGATTTCACATCGCCTTCGCCTTCTGTATCGTCTTCATCTCTCAACAAAGCCCCCTATCACCATTATCATGAAATTAACCACGATCCGATTAGACGTTGGGCTCCAAGCCCTTCTTATCATCCATCCTTAATCATGGAGGAAAAGCCATCCGATGAGTTTCCGGAGCGTACCCAGCACCCGATACGGAGATGGTGGATTGGATCAAGTCGACCTCGACTGTTACAAAGAAGGGAGATATAGATGAATATGCGCACCTCATGTGGTCCCAGTATCTAGGCCTCGCCTGGCTGGGGCTGCAGGTTTTTTGAGACTTTTTCCCGCGCACGCAGTTTCCATTGCTACCATTTTATTTTTTTGGGTAGAAGGTTCCGTGGAAAAGGTAGCTGAATTCCATGGGTAAATACTGAGCTGAGTAGCTATTTATCACGGACAATATATCAATGATCTTTCAAGTAACAAAAGAAGCAAGGAGCACTGTACAAGGTGTGGCCTGGGTCAAAGAGGAGCCCTTTGTGCTAGATAGTCTAAGACTCAAGTAGTACAATTAACTCAAAACCAATCATAATCTCATCAAACCTTGAGAATAAATAAGGATAAAAGAAATTGTCATTAGCCAAGACAAGAATCTGTGGAAGTAACAGAATAATCTCTACCAAAACCAAGAATAAGCGAGACAGAAAAAAAAAAAGACCTCATCTTAAGAATGATGCCATTGGTCGCTTCTATAAATGAGCTTTTATCCTATGCATGTTTATTATATAACTACGTAGCTCCGATGATGAGTATGGATTTAAGGAAACCTGTATTCAGAAATTCATGCACACAAATAATAAGTATGTTAGAACTATTCTCTACCTTCCATTTCACTTTAATTAGTAATACACCTCATAGTAATCATGCGCTAATAAATGATCAAGTCGAAGCATACCTCCGGACTCTGATAGTATGAGTACAGAAATTGAGGTTCACAAGCACCCCTAGGAATCCTTAGTTAACTTATTTTAAGTAAAAGAATAGATACACTCAATATATTCTACCGGCTTTGGAGGAAACCAAATTAAATTTCCACGATCGAGCCTTTCTCATATCACTATAATTCAATATCATATTAGTTTGAGCAATGTGCTGTATAGATCGGGGCTTAAAGAACTCTAAAAATCGATACTATAAGGCTGAGGCGAGATGCGTATCAACTATTCAAAAACACTTTGATTAAAGAATCGATATATTTGTCGCCCAGCCTCTTTTCCAACCAGTTCCTGAAAGATCTCTGAACTTGTATTTGAGACTTCTCGGAGACTATTGATTTTTGCTATCAAGTTGCCAATATTTTTAGCTGAAACGCCAGGCACTGCTCGTAGCATATCCTGAGGCTCTCGATTAAAACTTTGATCATCAGTATTTTGGCCATTCTCGAGGCCAATTTTCACAGCTGTCAACGGTTCTGGCTCGGCCTCCTGCGTTTTTAGAGTTTCGAAAATTTCAGCGGTCTGATAGGGTGAAGATGACCAAATAATCTGAAGGCGGGGGAAGGCGAGCGTGAGTTGCACAATTTTGGATTGGAGATCTGAATATGCATTTGTGGCTGATATTGAGGATAGAGATCCAGAGAGGTCAGCGAATGGTTCTAGTGTAAATGACTTGTTGTGGTCAAATTCAATAAGGAGCATGGGCGATTTATAGTACTGCAGCATCATCTCAGCTTGGTGATATAATCTTCCATTACTTAGCGAAGAAATTAGATCCCTGATTGACTTGCGTTCAACGCAGATAGCAGGGGAAAGTATGTAATCACCAACTGTTAACATGCACGGTATAACAATCATGTTACGTCCATGTAAAAGTGAGGGTAGCGAAGAGCGAAATTCTCGAACATCCACTACCACTCGCGGTGGTTGTGCAGTAGCTGCTAGCCGTCCACCGCCTGCGATCCGGGTATTAACTGTGCGAAGAAAAGCTTCTTGAGAATCTTCTACCTCTTGACCATCTAAAGTGTGTACTATAGATATGGAAGACTTCTGTTTAATGAGTTTAGTGAAAGAATCCTTCTCTCGACGAATTGATGAAAGATATCGCTGTTCCTCTACTGAACCGCCATAGTACATAAAATATACTTTCACATTCCGATCGTTATGTGATGAGCGGTACACTTCTATTCGCCGGACAAAAGCTGCATCAGGCTCGTACATAATGACATACTTAGGCCTCACTTCCTCCAAGACATGTTCATCGATATCGCCATCATAAGTATGAATCACGACAAGATCTTGCATTTCGTAAAGCTGGTAATAGGTCTCCATATCATCCAGTGGATCCGCCACAATTTCTTCTTTATGAGCTGTCTCTACCTCAGTGGGCTGTATTTCAGACATGAGGACAGTTGTGTCTAGAGGAATTTCTTTTTCTAATTGCATACTACCATTAGCTGCCCGTGAGGGTCCTGAATTAGTAGCTCCTCCTCCTCCTCCTCCTCTTACTCTCCTTCTCTTGTTAGGAGGCTTACCCCGGAAATTAGTCGGTTTTCGACTCATAAGATTGGCTGTATTATGTAAATCGGCATCATTCTGAGCAAAGAGATTCACGCTGATCCTTAAAAATTCTTTTTTCCATTTTAAATAATCTCGTAGTTTTCTCCGCATCATCAACGCAGCGGAGGGCTCTTGCTTATCATCGACGGCAGCCTCAGCCTCCAGGTTAATATGCATACTTTGTAGATATTCTTTCAACTGCCGACACTGTGCGGTATCAGTACACATAATCAGAATACTTCCATTAGAGCCATCTCGTGTTCCAGGATTGAGATTTAGATCCTGTTCAATCTCTTCAAGAACATCCGCAAGAACGGCCCACTTAGGTTGTTCCTCAAGAACCGGCCGGAGAGATTCGATATCATCTGCATTAACCCCGGAGATCTTACCAGAGTAAGCTCTTCGTTTTGCAGTATCAAAAATGGTGTGTGCTGCATCAAGAAATAACCAAGGAGATTGATTTTGTCTAGTAGAGCCTGGTGGAGGTGAGTGTGCTGCAAGGATCGTGTCTAAGTGTCGATTGAATGAAACGGCGTCATATGTGAGAAGGGAGTGGAGCATTCCTCGTAGAACACTGAGATCGTTTACAATTTGTTTTGTCTTGCGGCTTATCCTATGCCACACAGGATCTAATTGTCTCCGAATCACTGAGTCAAATTGCTTAAGAAGAGCACTATCGACATTCCAATCGTCCATTTCCAGCCCAATGTTACTTTTCTTAAGCTCTCCCACACTTACTTCTACACACTCCATTATAGCATTCTGAATATCTCGCATGGATTCGGACATTGGGACTTCTAGTTCAATGACCTCTGCTTTTTTTTTCCCCTCTAACGCTTGAGCAACTAGTATTTGAAAACGCGGCCAAAACGAAACATTTCGTAGGAAAAGAGTTTTCATCATGGTAGATAGAGGAGAAAATCTAGTCGTAAAAGGCTCAGGGTTATCTGAAAATGCTTTCAAGAATCCAACCTTGTTTCGTTGTCTGTAAATCCTTATTATAAATGCTTCTAGAGAAGTAGCAACAATTCGATCAGCATGCAATGCAATCAGCCCAGTTATAGTGGTAGAGTTCAATAAGTTCGTCAATAGATCGACTACTAAGATTCGAGATGTGATACTGAATATACCACCCTGTGCGTACATCTTTCCTCTAGTACTGACGCTCATGTTGTCTGTATTGACCACACAAAGCCCTCTTGCTTTCGGTGCCATGCTGATGGCCGCACGTTCGGCCAGTCCTTCACCAACCCATCCATTCTCTCTATCATCTGCTCCAACTAGCAATATAAGGTTGTCGCCAGCTGCATCGTACGAGTGAAGAAGGTTTGCGACAAGATGAAGTAGTCCTAGACCACGAGCTATTATGACGAGTTCATCTTTTTGCCTTAGCTCTTGAAAAAGTTCTTGTTGGTAAGCCTAAGCCCGTCAGTTTTGTCGTAGGTAAGGGTCGGGTGACAAATATAATTACTAGGGGCAAAGAAAGCTTGACTGGCTGTTGATCGTGACTCGCAGAAGACATCTGATCCTTTCATACTTTGTACATGCGGTCATATGTCCAAAGAAGGCTCGGAACCCTCTCATGTCAGCCAAGGCTACGGCGGTGAGTATTCCAGTTTGGAAATAGTCAAGTGCATCATTCTTCCCCCTACCAGCGACGTCATAAAGTGACTGATCATACAGACCATGATTGGACTTTCTAAGAATGAGCCGATTGACATATACCTACATAAATAGCAGAGTCCTACAACATTTAATGCCATCGACAACAATCAATTACATTACCTCTATTCATTGAAAGGATTCATATCACAAGAAATTTAATACAAACTACAATGCCTGACAAAACTGGTGACTCCTGCTCCCAGCATGCCAACTCAGAAACTCATGATATATCAAAAACCAAGTCGAGTGATAAGCTAGATTCAACACAAGCCAAAAATACAGCACCGAGGTCGGGTATTGTGCTACCTACAGATTTCAATGTTCCTTTAGAAGGTACAAAGGAAGAGCGCCTTGAAAAAGCTAAGTGTCTAAACAATGTTTGATACAGTCTACTGAGTATGTTTTTACTGAGGATACAAGACTATTGCTGACTTTTTCAAGTAGTAGTGAAGCTAGACGAGGCATTTTGCCTTGAAGTTCCTGGGATCAAGGATAAGAAATACTAAAATATAAGGGTTGTAGCCTGAAGTATCGTCTGGTTCCGAACTTACACTTATTGTTGTTGCTATAATACATGTGGTTTGATTGTAGATACTTAGAAATTGACTGGTTTTGCATTACCTCAATGTTATAAAAACTGGATCCGGGCTTAGTGAAGATGAATTCTCACAATTATACCAAATTCTGTTCCATGATGGCCAAAGCAATTTTGTGTTAACTTATTGCTAAAATGAAATCAAGTCCAGCCATCTAAGAAAACGACCTTTTTCTCGCCGTAGCTTAGCATCCTCTGCAGCCTCAGCCACCCCGGACACATATCTTTGATTGATCTATTATCTTCACACTAGTTAATCCTCCCGAACATTAGCGTATACCCAATCTTGACCCTTGTGACGCCACTGAGTTGTATTAATTCTAGGATGTATATAAATAGCCACCAGGGAGCGCTGCCTCCAACGTCTTTCTACTAAGCCCCTCAACATGAGTATATGGGCCATCAAATCTCAGTATCTTCCAGTGGCTTTAGTGTGTGGCGAGGTAGTGTTGTGTATAGTTTATCCATTTTTTCAGTTGTCCGACGCGAAGAATTGGGTAGTGAAGCAAAAGTTCAATGTAAAATTTTATATAAATCTAAACCCAAAAATTTCTTTGACTTGATTTCTATTCGTATCAGACTTGCGCTCAACACTCATGAGGCGTGGTACAGATGTATGATCCATGCAGACTCACTACGATCTACGAGCATGGCTTTACATGTTAGAGAAACTACATGAATTAGAGAGGTAATGAAAACGCTACAATGTATCCAAACGAAGGCACCCTGCGATCTATCCTGATCTTCCCAGCATTTAAATAACAGAATAAAAACTGATACCCCACTAGGACATCAATTTCTTTGAGATGTTTGGATCCAAAGCTGATTCTCGAAGTTCACTATGGGTACAGGGCCAACGGAGTCTGTGAAGATCACTTCTCACAAGCCTAATTCACCCCAACCGCATGAATTGCCACCAACAATTGAAGCTGCTTAAAACAGAAAGCCCAATAAAATCTTAAAAAAAATAAGACTCCCTCGAGTTTGATCCAAGCAATGCGCTTCTCACGCTTTCCTTCCTCCATCACATCCCCCAAATGATAAATTTCTCAACCACTGCTGAAACCGAGAGATGAATTAACAGGTTTCCTCTAAAATCGTCGGTTCCTCTTCAAGTCTCGTATAAGCCACTACTGACTTATTTCCGGCGCTTCTCGCAGCTCACGTCTGTTCCTCGGGGTTTAAGGCTGCGAAGCCTAATCCTCCCGAAATTTTTATATCTTTGGAGGCAGGTTGTATTCCTGCCCCGGCACTCTTCGCTGCATTCTTCGCTCTGAACACTGCAGCGAACTCTTGTAAGCTGCCTTTTTTTATCGTGACAAATTGTTCCCTTGATTACCGAGCCAGCATGGGTCGGCCTAGCCAAGCAGTCTTGATTATACGATCGTTGACGGCTACCATAGTTTTGATACTGCTCGATTTAGCCATGACGCATTAACTTGTATGCTATTCCAGACTCTTCGAAGATACGTAATCGAGCACGGGGTGCGTTCTTACGAGTAAAAAAGAGATGTTGTTTGTTTCTTTCTATTTCTCGTTAATCGAGACGCCAAGCTTGACTTAGGTTCCTACTACAGTCAGACCCCTATGAAGACGATGTAATCGGGGCCGTGAAAAATATCGTCATATAGAGGATATTGTTTAAAAGGGTATCATTATCTAATCCAGCTATCTAGGCTACTTTGTACGTTTGATGCCTTTTTTATACTCCCATTTGCCGTCTTCAATCGCTCTAATACCCTCAAGGTCAGGCCAGTTTCTAGCTCGCTGTCGTAGCGCAGTAGTACTTGGAGCTTCGTCGAGTTTCGCAAAGGTCTTGCTCAAGGATTCGGAGACTGTGGACTGGCTTCATCGATGGCCGTACTCAGTTAAGAACCACTCAATGCACTGTTTTTGTGTTGGTTTTGGGACCTGGCGGTGCGCCCATTGTCGCAGAGCAGGTCGTTGCTCCACAGAAATTCCCTTTTATTGGCGGCATTGTTAGCACCAATCTAGCAAAAAAGACCTTGGTTAAGACGATATTCGGAGGTTGAAGAACGATAATCGTGTAATCGGTAAATATATGGAACAAAGTTCGTTCCGTAAAAAATATCGTCTTAACAGGGGTTTGACTGTACCCACTAAACTACCTAGAGGCTGGCAAGGACGAATTCTTCACCTTCCACTGGTGCTGGAGTAATCGCTCAGCATGTTCTGCATATCTAGGATAGCCAAGAACGATCGCATCTGAATCGAAGTCGAAAGCAAACACATGCATATGTCCATTTGAAAACTTCTCAATCATGCAGCACTCACCATTATCTTCTGAGCCCTCGACCTCTTTCCAACCACATATCATCTCGCCTCGCCGACCGATAAAGGCGTTACCCTAATAGCAAAAAGGAGCTTGCCTCATTAATCTCCAGCCATCACTCACTACATATTTACGACGCTATTTATACCCGCAAGGAGGAAATCAAGTCGACAAATACAAAGCCTGGTTCTTGGCTTATGGGGGACTGTTGCTCTAATGGGATAGACAACTTGAGGTAGAATAGGCTGCTGATATGTAGAGTGAGAGTTGGAACAAGTCTCTTATGACCATGCTAGGACCGATATTTTCAAGTGGTTATCAACTTTGGAACGCTTGTGGACGCCAAGTCTGAGATATTGGATAAGTAGCCAGGAGGGCTTCTTTTGTCGATGAGTCAACGGCGCTTCCCAGCGCCCTAGACGGCACAAAAGAAGTTAGGCTTAGCTACCGTACAGCAATCACGCTCTGTCAAGACATTTCTAGCATTTCAGCCCGACCTTCGGGAAGGAGTTGGAAGGAGGCTAGAAAGGTAGAGAGTGAATTTCCCGAGGTACCCACAAGTCTGCAGCGCCCAGCTGGCCGGCCTCTTCGAACGCTTCAGAAGGGTCACTATGTCTTCGGATTTAGTCGTAATGTCGGTATTAGAAGAGCCCCGCACCCAGTGGTTTTTGCGACTTTTCCCGGCTGCCATATACCCGCAAATGGCCATCGTTTCGTTGGCTGGAGAGGGGAGATAATGAAGGGCAGAGGGCTCCTCTTAGTGCATGATCGAATGAGGACTTATGAGGGGTGGTACTGTTTGAGGGGAGCTGTATGGGAGGCACAGGAGGGGATATACTACTGGTATAGGTATCCTTGGCCTGTACGCAGAGAGGACCTGCATATCCTACATAGTCATAGACTCAGACAGGACAATAAAATGAATTAATAAAAAACTACCTAGAGGTATGGACGCCAGTGCTTACTACCCTGGTGGCTTCGCCCTTGCTACTTCCTAACTAGGTTTGCAGGGCAATTCTCTAATTGTATTTTTTTTTTTTTTTTTTGCATCAGATTTTAATTGCGTATGCAGCTATCTAGCTATGACACAATATCAAAGAAAAGTACAGAATAGATGATTCAACGTAAGAGAAGAGCACTCATGCCTCGGATTTCATTTGCAAGTACCACTGCGAAGTTATGGTGGCTTTTTCTTCACCCCAAGTCAACCCTCATCCGTGAATACCCACCCAGGGGAACGTCTCAAAAACCCTGAGTTATCCAGACATGCCTCCGTCATCCATCAACTTTTCTCCGCGCGAAATGTAATCTGAGATGTCTCCTTCCCAAGTGGAGTAGGTGCCCAGGCTACTCAAACCATACCAGAGAACATCACCAGGAGGCGGACTACAACACCTTCCATCGTTTGCTTGTTTTTATAGTGTCAGCTGCACTCTCGCAAGCGAAGTCTTGGCGCGCACAAAGCTCAATTCGTAAAACTCTTGCCAAAATTCAAAATTCCACGCCCGTCAAAAACGTATCCCTCTTCTGCATCATCTTGTGAACTTGTCCTAATCCCTCTCACGTCCTACCCAAAGAGCTATCTCCCAGATTTGTGCTCCACGCTTTGCTTCCTCCGTCGGGTGTAAATATCGGCGTGGGCGTGTATTTGGTGACCGGCTGAGGCCAGAGAAAGTCGACGAGAGGTGTGGTCATTGAAACGAGGATGTACTAGGTCGTACTTGTAGACTTGATGAAGCTTTGTTGAGAATCGGACTCTTTGGGAGTGAAAGATTGACATGGTGGAGTAATTTGAATTTTTGCCTCGTGGGCCAACTTCTTTGATATTGCGAAATTTGACTGAACTTGGCTCTGGAAGAATATTTCACTCCCAGGTTCGTAGAGGACACCGCGTACAGGTGTTCAGTCTTGCCCTCCTCTCTAATTGTATGATAGAGTGTAGCGTAGCACCTGAACTTATACAGCCAGTCCCCAAGACTCATTACACCTTTGATGCATTACAGCCACTCTCGGGATGCTATTAATGGATCCATTCAAAAATACCGCACCATCCATCCATAATGCAAGGCTCAAAGTTGAGGCAGAGTTTAAGACCTATTTATTTCCTCTCTGGGATTTATAGGTCAGTGCTTTATGTAAAACAATCACGAGGTATGAAAATGGTAGAGAGGCAGCCTTGGGAATGTAAGATAGATTGGCCATGGAAAGGGAAACAGGAGTAACTACATTGAGCTTCATATACATGAGGTGTGGGGGGGACTATTCTCAACACCTGTCAGCGGTGTCCCCTACGAACCTCCAGCTCTCACTGTAGAGTCTGCAGAGCCTAGATTGAGTAACAAAGTCCTCACTTTGATGAGGATTCTCAATCGCTTTCGCGGTCTGTATCGTCTTCATCTCTCAACATATCCCCCTATCACCATTATCGTGAAGCTAACCACTATCAGATCAGATGGTAGGGTCGGAGCTCTACTCATCACCAACCCTTGATCATG